TATTGTGGAAGAATTAATAAGTTTCCATCAAAATTCCAGTAAAAATGGTACGAATGGCTCTTCACATTTTTTCCTAAAATTCTATTAAATTCTTTTAAAATCTAACATAATAAAAATTGCAGAAAATTTGAATAACACATGCATTTAAAAAAATTAAAATTCTAATCAATTGAATAACACATGAATTTAAAAAAATTCAAAAATACATAATTAAATAATAGTGGAATTCTCTAGAAAATTCAATTCCTTCAAAATCAATTAAATTTTTTAATCGAATACCACCCCCAAAAGAATAAATATATATTACTTCAGATCAATTAGAAGATTGTAATTATCGATGTTTCGTTTAAAATGAGCATATTTAAATTTCAAATGACAATCTAATCCACAACCCATTGAATCGATTAAATTGAAAACATAAATATTTAAATTCTGAAAAGTTTACATCCATAATTTTTTTTAAAAATAATATATTGAAAGATTCAAATTAAACGTTACACCTAGTAAAAATAATATTGATCATTTGGCTAATCAATAGAATAAAGATGCTTCTACAGGCATTAATGCAAGTTTAACCGATGCTTTCAAGAGAGTTACGTTGACATGAGAAGTTGTAACGTTAATAAGAGTTCAACGTTAATAACATGAAAGGTTTGTTGTAACGTTCATTGAGGTCACAGAAGAAGAAAACAAAAACTTCTCAAATTATTCTGTTGCATATATAGTCTAATTCAATTTTGTTTGTGTAAAATAGATCGAATTCAAGTTCTTAATTAGTTGAAAAATAGAAACAACAATTATTATGTTGTTCAAAGAAAATTACAACTTGACGAGTAATGGTTGTGATGTTCTATATCTATGTGTCATGAGGTGTAAAATAGTACATAAATTCTTTATATAAGGAAAAAGATGCTTTCATGTGCAATATTCATCATCATGATTCTTTAACGACATTGTAGACAAATAAAAAAGAAACTAATAATTATTTTTAATGTATATTTATTAAAGAAAACATTATCGTAAAGCATCTGCTTCTACTATAAATAGCTCTCTTCTTGATCAAGTCTCTTCACTCATCAAAGCATCACATACACTTTTGCTTCTCTTCTTATTATCTTTAAACCTATTTTTTCCTCTTTCGCTTTTTCCATTTTGAAATGGCCACCGTTGAGGTATAATACTCAATTTTTACATATATTTTTAATAAGATTTTAAATCTATCTCTCGATTCTTTTTTCTTGTTGAAGTTATTTAGACTTGATATATTAATCATCGAATTATTTCAGCTTACTTACACATAACATATTTCATGACGATTGGACTACTCACCGTTTAACCTGATCAAAACGGCATGCAGTTTTCCTTTAATAACTGTGTGTTTTGCTTACAGGTTGAACAAGTGATCCCAGTTCCAGCAGCAGCAGAGAACGTTGAGGTACCAACACCAACAAAGACAGTGGAGGAGCCAGTGGTGGAGACGGAGCCGGAAGAATCCGCCTCCGTAACAGAGTCTGCTCTGGTCGCCGTGACAGACCAAGAATCCGAAGCACCGGTGATAGAAACGAGCAAAGAAGTGGTTGTG